TCAATGTTAAGCGAGAAAATATCCTGCCATCTTTGAATCACAAAGATCTCGATATAAGAAACAACTTTGAGCATTATTTGTAAGTGAGATCTCCATTTGTGAATGTTTTATTTTTCATTAACTTTCATCAGGATTGTTCATCACTTTTCATCTGGGTTCAAGTATTGCAAGTTGTTGAGAATTGATTTTGTTTCATGACAGGGAGACTTTGAATGAAGCATATAACACAATCATGCTTCGAAAAGGCGAGATTGACGAGCGTATGTTCATTCCTACTGATACTGCTACTATATTCGATCCTGCTTTTGACTGTGAGTTTTAACTAAAACTTCTTCTAAACTTGTCTGTTTGTGTTATGAATAGAAGAACTATGTATTATCGCTGAATTATGTTTTCGATATCATACGAAGCGTGGATGTTCTACATATAGGTGCTAGTGAGAGGCAGCCTAGTCTTTATAACAAAATCTACTTTTTCTTTCCGATATCGTAGTGTAAATCATGCATATAATGTCTTATGGTTGACCCTTTCTTGAGAGAATAAGGTTCATTCTCAGTTTGCAACGATTTCAGCTTCTGCCGTAGAACTCCTTCGACGCGGGTCCACTGAAAATAGATTTGCTGATGCCGAACTTCTCCTAACAATGTCCACCCAGGTATCTTTTTTTACTTTTTGAGTACATCTTACTTTTTGGGCAAGGCAATTTAATCGCCTATTTTAGTTATTTGTTATCTAACAGGTTCCATCTCACCATTATTTTCTTTATAGTGATTGTCAAGTCGAATTAAGACCTGAAGCAAAATTTAAAGAAATATAGTTCTTCTTGTGATTGTGTAAATTAGCCCAATGTTTTGTGCATTAGAAGTGAAGATTTTGGTTTTAAGAACTGCCTGGAGAAGCTTGCAGATGTCAAGCGACCACCATCTAGAAGCGACGCGAAAAGGTTTGTCAGCCTTTATCCCAAATAAACATTTTGAATGTACATACCGTCATGAATTGTGCTGATTTCAGCTATGTAATTTCTTCCCAGCAGCTTCGACCACTATGTCCAATGACTCACGCAGATACAACGGCTAGTCCCACTCAAAAGCTGAATCCCTTAGTTCCCAGTGACTTTAAACTAGAAGGATCCTCTCTGCAACGGTGTTGCCTTCAAATGAGAGATAACCCAGTATCGT